GCAACGGCCGAGGGGCGGAGCCGCCTCGGACGGCGTCGCGCAGCAACGCGCGGGTTTGCCGGGGAGCGACACAGGCCGCTCCCTGAGGCCAAAATCACCCTCCATGTCCTTCTAATTGTGGTCCTGGTCTGCCTGACCCGATGGTAGCACGGTTGAGGTTGGAACGGACCTCGAAGATCATCTAGTTCCACCCCCCTGCCACGGGCAGGCACACCTCCCACCAGACCAGGTTGCCCCAAGCCCCATCCAGCCTGGCCTTGAACACCTCCAGGGATGGGGCCTCAACAATTCCCCTGGGCAAACTGTTCCAGTGCCTCACCACCCTCATGGTAAAGAATTCCTTCCTGATATCTAACCTAAATTCTACTCTCTTCCAGTTTAAAACCGTTACCCCTCATCCTACCGCTGCACTCCCCAATAAAGAGTCCCCCCATCCCTCCTGTAGGCCCCTCACAGAGTTATGATAATAGTCAAAATTGATGCCTTCAACACGTGCACCCACTACTGCAGGCAGAAGCCACTTGCTTATGCCTACATGCTAATTTGTTCCATATGGCTTTACCTCTCGCTCCTCTGGTCCATCGCAACGCGAAACCTATTTCATCCTGCAGTGAAAAATGTAAATCTTCGCGGAACGAAAAGAGGAGTGAAAGGAAATCTGACCGGGGAGCTTGCCTCAGGGTGACAGCGCAAGCACACAGACTCCCAACTGGATTTGTGCCATCCTTAGTCATGCACAGCTGGTGTTTGCTCACTAAAATACTCTGTTCATAAACAAGCAATCTCTATCCTATTATTGCTGCCATCTATTAATTCAACTTGTTTCTACTATAATAAATCGTCTCTGGCCAGGCAGCTTTCATAAATAGTCATTCTAGTCTGAATATGGATCGTCCTGGCACAAAACCCAAAAATTCTTCCCAAGTGCTCCTAGGGGAGCACAACTGACTGCTGGTACATCAAAAGAATGAAAAGAATCAGCTGTCAAACTAAGCAAGCAATTAAAAATAGCACACAAGGGTAAAACTTTATATCTTAACACAAAAAGAACACTGTATAGATTTATAGGTCTTGGTACAGGCACAAGAGCTTATATAATTCTCTAACTAATCCATCTGTAACAGGTAACCCAGGGTACCAAGAGCCTAATATTCTAGAGAGGGCTAAGAGGCTGCCCTGCTTGTTTCCCTGGCTTTGCATCCAAAAAAAAAAAAAAAAAAAACCAAAAAAAACAAACCCACCAAAACAAAACTTAAAAAAACCCCCTACTTTGTCTTGGACGTGGTATCTAGGCATCTAAATGAAATCCCTTCTTCAATTATTTACTCTGTAACCATGAGGTAAAAATATGCCAAACAGACTGAGCACCAGCACGCACGACTTGAACTCCTGAATTCTAATCCCAACTCTGCCAACAGCACTGTGCGCCAATGACAACGTCCAAGGCTCTCCTGATGCCTGAATGCTTCAAACCATTACTATAATAACCAAAAAAGCTTCCATATTACAAAAAAAAAAAATCAAATCTATCTATAGAAACAGTGGGTTTGGTTTTTAACTATAGAAAGTAGATTTCTAAGAGAAGATAGAAGGAAGCTTTCTTTTATGAAGAGGACAATGAATTCCTTTATGCCTTGACTGTTAATCTTCACTATCAAACAACAGTAAGATGTCACAGCTGTTACTGAAAGCAGCAAGAATCTACTCTAATCCAATCTCCTCTGAAAGCATCTTCCACAGCTCGCTCTCACCAGAAAACAGTTGTTCTCAATAGTCTGTGACCTGTACAATCTTAGAGAAAGAACACTTCAAAGATCAGAAGACAACATTATTTTTGAAGTAATTTAGCTCCAGTATACTATTTGCTTTGAAAAATCTAGTTACAAACATTGAACTCGTAACAGAAACAGACTGTATCCAATGAAGGAAGCACAGACCTTTATTGTCCTGGTGACCTATCTTTCTTCACGAGTCCTTTCTTTCCTCCTTTAAAGAGTACATCAAGTCCAAGCATCAATTTCTATAAATATGTATTTGGCTTATAAGAGACATAAGGACTGTAATGAAGTTGCAGGAGGCTGTTGAAGCTATGATCTACTAACAGAATCATTACTGCTTCCTCAGAAAGCAATGAGCTTACAACAGCAATGAAGGGAAGGGAAACCACGGGAAGGTGATGCACATTCGGTAGTTATTAAAAGTAAAATGAAGAGGTCCATTGCTGCATATCCAAGGGCAAAGAAATTCACAATGAACTGCAGCAGGAGGCACCAGGCAGACTCTGGGAAACTACCTCCGTATTTATTTCACTGTAACAAAACTGAACATTGCATCAATCCCTACATCAGAACACCAGACAATCCCAGCCTGGATCAAGGTCCCAGAGATATTAATTTCATAACCTTGACTCACAAAACTAGTGAACTGAAAACAGTGGGAGCATACAAATGAATACACCAGCAAATTCAAGCCCAAAAGCTAGACGTAAACATGATGTATGCCACCATTATCTTAAAAAAGAAAATATTACATTAATGCATGAACAAACAAGATAGAGTTTATTCAATCCACCTTCATTTCGTATTTTCTAACCTGTAACTACATCAATGCACAATTTCACCATGGCAGCAGCTTGTTGAACTGTGACCATCAGTTCATGTAAGTCACAGCTATTTCATCAATTTCAGCTGCTCTTCATTGATTAACATCCACTAGAGCCTGGCCTCCAATTTTATACCGCCACATAATCATAACATCAGAAATGACTAGCGCATTCTGTGTTTACGTAACTTTCTTGGCTCATTTTCATTTAAAATTATTTCTCACATCCTCTATTTTCCAAATAACCCCGGCAACAGTCTCTTCAATCATTCTAGACTACAGTCTCTCTTATTTGTGTGCTTTGCAAGTGTTTTAATGGGCTACTGAAGTGGTGTATCACATTATCAAGTTTAAAGCCAGATGTTTAACTCCTAACAAAGGGCGTAATCCCAACATTTGTGTATGTCAGAATTACTAAAAGATGCTTTATCGAAATATAAATTTAAACAATACGCAAGACTGCATGTTTGCAACGTATAACGCACAATCCTAAAAACACACTGATACAGAAAGTTATATGCAATTAGTTGACATGGTTTCCATGGAGCTACTCAATGACCATGCCACAACACAGATCGCGTTGCAGGATCACATTCATTTTGTAAAAGTATTACAGCAAATGCCACATTTTAGAAGTTAATTAGAAGGAACCATTCAAGCAGTTTTGCTTTTCAAGATGACAGATTTTTCTCTGAAATCAAATTACTCCAGCAGCCTATTTAAAATACAGAATTAAAAACTGTGAAATATCAAGATCAGATGCCATTACAAACAGTACATTTTCAATAAAACAGCTTTAAACACTCTCTTCTTATCAAGTATGACTGAGTTTATGGTAATTTTTTCAATCTTTTAGAAAATTCCTACAGGAAGTGTGCAGACTGCGTGTAAATCTCACTCCTTCTACCTGTTCTCTTTTACTCATCTTTTACAACAAGATGTTACATTTACCAGATTAAAGTACTTGAGAGTACTTTGTATTTAATTAATGCTTTATGAGTACAAAACCTGCACTATACACCCTTACATAGGAAGTGAAGCTTGCTTCTGAGTTTACCTCTGTGGCAATAAACATGCACAATGGAACTATTCCCAGTTTATAGCAGCAGGTGGACATGAAGACCTGGGGTTTTTACACTTGAATGGTTCCCACAGTCTATTTATAGTCCAAGTAACAGTTTGAGCACTACCAAACTGGGTAATGATATCTTGTCACTCAAAAAACTTATTTCCAGGCTTTAGGGAAGATACGTAGCTCCTTTCTTTCCTCAGCTGTTTATATATAAAGTATTTTTGGACATGAATTTCTCCAGAAAAAGTAAATCTTCAGAGCTATAAAAAAATGTTTTGGACATCATCAAGCACTTACTCATATTTTTTCCAAATCAGTGCTCCAGCTCCGAAGTGATAGAATTTAATTATTTATTACATGTCTACAACCTACGCAAACATCCTCTACTATGTCTACACATCCTTACAGAATTGCGGGTGAACTCAGAGACACACAAGGGAAAGGACGCAGCCAAACCCAGATGACGGATGAAAACTACTAAGTCACTCAGGGTATTGACAAAATATAAACAAATTAATATAAACTCAAAAGTCCATGAAAAACAAATAAAGAAATTAACTGTCAGAGTAAATACTTAGATTTAATCTATGTGACTGCCCCCAGCAGTAACCATTTCATTTATGACTCACACACTTATTTCACATTAGGGCTGATAATTAGATGTTCACCTACCGAATCATTTGCTGCTAGGGCAAGGGCTATATTTACTGCAAGAAAGAGGAAGAAAAAAAAAAAGATTAAGTGCAAGAAAATTTAATTCCTAAATTGGAGAATGTTATCATTTCTAACAAGAGAAAACATAATATAAATACATCACACTTACTTAATAATTGCATTCATCATCTTGGTTCTTAGCTTCTTGCACCTCTAGAGTAGTATTAGTTTAAGTTGCAGCAGCACCCACGTTTTAGTCCATGTTTGCTAACAGGCTACCAAACTCAATCTAGTCTGCAAAAATTTGCAAACTCTAGGTTTCTAGAAGACACTACAAAACAAAAATACAATCTAGGTATTTTGCCAAAGGATAACATTAAGAAGAAAATTTTGAGGTACCCACTTGACTTTTGAAAACTGGACACTGCACTACAAAACTAAAATAACCCTACCATAGGTAACCTTCATCACAGTCTCTAGTGGACTTTATTAAAACTAGAGATTAGGTAAGTGTTGACCTAAGCTTTTAAAGTACAGTGACCAGAAAATTGCTAATACCCCTTTTTTTTTTTTTATTTCTTGTGATACATTAAACATGGATATTTTCTGAAAGAAGGTGCAACGCATGCTTTTTGCTTGATTTTTATGTCAGAAAACAAAGTCTCATCTACCCAAAACAACTAAAGAAACAGAAAAACATGATGAAGACATTAAAAAGACTGTAAGTTTGTTTACAAATTTTACATTTCCATCAACACTAAGTTCCATAACTAAAAAGCACACGCAAGAAATGGTATCTATTAATGGCTCACCAGCTTCAATTATGCTGGAAGACCTCCTAGAAGCTTCACTATAACCAAATAGGCATTGTTATAATCCAAGCAGTAACATGTTAAAAAAAAAAATAAAACAAAAACAAACACACACGTACAACTCTTTCTTGGGTAACATCTTTTGGTTTCTTTACACATTGCTGTATCTCAGTCCACAGAGCCTTTTAAGAAAGATAAGCTGCAGTCAAGCCTGTTCTACTGGAAGAATATGAAGGTACTGAGAACAAGCTCGGGAGCCAGATTCACAACTTAAATAATCTAGTATTGAGAAAGATAAATTCCTTTAAACAAAATGGTGAGGAGGTTAAAGAAAATTGTGCAGCTGTCCCTAAGAAGCACACAGTCTCTGTTTACTCCTAAGATGATAAAGCATATTTTATTCTTCAGTTTGCTATTTAAACAGATGCTTGATTAACCTTTGCCTGAATCAATCTGAGGAAAATTCATCCTCTGAAACTTGGAGAACAATCTCCAAATCACAGACAAGGAGAAAAAACAAGCAAACCAATGATAAATAAAAAAGAAAAATATAAAATCAACTGCAGCTCATGTTTGAAGAGGCACAAAGCAAGCAGCAAGTTACTCCACACACTATCTTAAAACCACTTTATACATCTGCCCTCTTCCTATACAATTATTATGTGTGAAAATTAAAATATGATTCACGATGCTTCTTCAATAAAGGATATTTTACTATTGAAGGGAAAAAAGGGAGACAGTGAGAATAATATAGTGGGAAAACCTAAGGTTTTTAGCTGGATATCTAGCTGGGCACCTCATGTTCTCTGTTGAATCCCAATCTTGCACTCCATTGTGTTTGTACTACCGTCAGTTCCAAGAGGGCGTAGAGATGCAGCACAGGACCTAACCTGACCCTAAACATTCATGTTGGCCCTAACTAGTAAGTTCCCATAACTAGAAGTGCAGGGGAGACACATTCCTGATGTTCAGTACAACTTTTTTTTTTTTTTTAAATTATATTTTAACTTCACAGCAGGCTCCAAGAGTCACCGCAGTATCTCTGACCATGCTAAACCAGCCAACTGGCATCAAGAATGATGCACAGGGAGATCCAAGTTAGTCTTCCTGAAATCAGTACAAGTCTGGGAAGGTTTATTAGTTGGGATTTTGTAACTTCCAAATCTGAACTGGCCCTAGGAATAGCACCATTGAATTCTCAGAACACTGAGCTAACAATACAAATAAAACTTCTTGGCCCAAATTCAGGTATGTACTGAGTCAGCTGAGTGTATCTACATCTGTGACATGGTTAATCTACATCACCAATAAAATACCTACAGATAACTAAGATGAACTCTCTCTGAAAGATAACTTTCAATACTTACATGTCAATGCAAGTGCCATTTAGAAATAGAATAACCTATTTATGACTATTAAAGAATATTTTAACATGAAGAAAAGGCCCAGAATCAAGAAATATGACATGGATCCTGGAAAAGAACCACAAACAAACACTATTGTCGGTTTTGCCAAAGCCCTAACCTGTGTCCAAGTTGGTCAGGGAAATAGATGGATTTTGGCCTCTACCTTGAAAGGGTAAGTTTCAATAATAGTACATCCTACCTGCAGAATAAAAGCATGCAAGAGAAAAAAAATTAAACCACGGTTAATATGACTACGATAATGTCAACATATGGTCAAATGTATCTGCTCTCCTGAAGAATAATGAAAAATCTCAGCCCGTTACTTTTTGCTTAAAATGTCTGAAGGCCAAGGTAGTTGGTAGTATCAGTAGTTTTATTTTCTTTAAACTGCAGCATTAACAAAATGGCAGCAAGAACACCAGCCATTAATTTTATTCCACTTCCACAGCTGAAACAATAAGAGTTTCAATAAATTAGAAATTTCTCTTCTTTCAAGACCATACTTTGAACTCTTCTCAAGCCAGGATCAGTTTTCTACAATACTCTCACCTTCAGGGTAATGCAAAAGAGGGGCAGAAGACACTAAAACAAGATTAAAAAAAATAAAAATTTTAGCCAGATGGAGTAAATACAGCAGAATGCTGGTAAAAGACAGAAACTTGACAGGAAAGAGATAGGAAACAAACAAACAAACCAACACACACTAGGCAAACAAAAACAACAACAAAGAAACAAAGTAGTTAAACATACATTGAAAAAAAGTTTTCTTATAACACAATTTCTTCTTTTAATAATTGATTACATCAATTTCAGAAGACCAAAAGGTGCTAGAAGCAACAGAGAATACAATATGAAAGCTATATGCAACAAGGAAAAAAAAAAAAAAAAAAAAAAAGAGTTATTCAACAGGCTAAGGAATGGCCCTGACAAACTTGACCAGAATGCATATCCACTTCTCTGGAAATGGAGATCCAGAGCACTTGAAACATAAATACACTGGAGGAAAGAATATGAAGAGCCTTGACAGCCCTTCAGAGAGATGTAGACAATAAGACTGATGATATTTTGTGTGGTGCTTTAGGAATTAGAGGTGCATACTATCCACCTTCTTTTTCAAGTCCTACTCCTAAAATGAGTCAGCAGAGTTTTCACCAAACATGTCCCCACAAACCTCCGTTACAAAGAACATCATTTTAAGTTCATAATTCAGCAATGATGCTATGCAGTATTTTTGTTCATACAAGCTATCTCATCTTCAATTGTTCATCTGAACCATTAAATTCATTCTCACTTTAATAAACAAGAATCTAGATTCCCTTTTCTTCTCCATTTTATAAATGAATACATTCATTAACAAAAGGCTGTCCAATACAGCAACATTTGAACGGTTCATTTACATTTCAGCTCGATTATTTAGTGCTTGTTGCACCCTGATTCTTTATTTTTAAATGCATGGGTGTGAACTCCCAGCTCCAAGTATTATTTTTACGTGTTGTACTTTATGTACAAATTGCATACAGATATGTACAAATTACATACGGACACCAATTAGTGGAACTTAAATTAGCACATCTGTTTGCAAACATGAGGAGGATAATCTGAATTTACTGCTCAAATTATGTTCATTTTGTAAATTGTTGATTTACAAACAGATATTTAGTATTTTCCATAACCTGAAACAACCAGCCTATGAATTATAACCATCAACTAAAAGGTACATCATTAAGAAACGCAAGTGTTGATTTTTTTGCATGTCTTTGTACAGGGATGTGTATCCTATGTATATGATAGCATATCCTATAGAAAATACTTTCCTTTTTTTTCTTTTTAGTACACTTACTCTTACTACAGATATCGTGTTTGTCTGTTCTAGTATTTATTAGATAGTCAGTCCTTTTCAAGCACAGCTGAGATACAAACCACAAAATGAGAAATTAAGATCTACATCAGTTATTCACAGCAAATGGAGATGAACAGTAGACAACATTGAACTCAAGTATGACTCTCTTCCAATCCAGGTGCTAAGGAAGATATCTTTAAAAACAATTTTCTAACGCTTTACAGAGATCTCTTCAAAGAGGTTTACCTTCAGTGTCATCTTTGTTTAAGTTCAAGAAAATTTCTGCAGTACTGGTAACCTATGTACTATCTTGTTCTACCACCTAGGAACTGCACAGTTAGAGATAAATTAATTCAAAACCTAATGGTGGGGCTGAAAGATGAGTCCAAGGTGCTTCACAAGGCTCTGATCAATTTGAGTGGTTTACAAATACCGTTTCACCTTTTGTTTATGAAATGAGTACACAAGTAGTTGAGAAAATTGGACAGAGACCTGATTTTGAAACCTTCTAAATATCAGCATACTCTACAGAGCACAAGACTACAGCGACACAGCACAGAGGAACACTGTACAGGCACACCTACACTGCTTAGGGAAGGAAGAACAGTATCGCTGCACTGGCCTATCACTCCCTTCACCTCTTAAGAAAGCAGATTGTCCCATGACAGTATTGCATGATTATGAAGATATTATTTCAAAGCTGTCTGCTCGATTTGCACCTCATTTAAAGCCAAGACCTCTCTACCCAACGTAGATTTTCAATGGCTGCAATGGGACTTGACAGAGGTGAAGGGCTGCACTAGCGGGACTCAACACAAGTGCCTAAATATTCCTTACAAAGTATTACAAAATGCGCGAAGTAAAGACTAACAGAAAAAAAAAATCTTACCTGCTGTTGTTGATTTTCCAACTCCCCCCTTTCCAGAAGCCAAGACCACCACCTGCTTAACTCCTTCTATGGGCCTCTGTTTCGGCAGCCCACGTGCCAGCATCTTGGCGCGCTTGTCCCGTAGAGCCTCATCCCTGGAGCTTGAGGACTAACAAAAACAGAGAGCACGCAAATGCATATGCACCAACCCGCAGCGTTTGCGGAGAAAGCTGACAGGGAAGAACCCACCTGCACACTGAGAAATTTTCACTATTGGCCCCAAAAAAAAAGAAAACCAAAACCAAACCATTTTGCAGGCAGGTTCTCCCAAAGGGAGCCCGCTCCGCCGGTGGGCAGGAACGGGGCCTGCTTAGATATAACCCCAGTGGGCATTCTGTTTAGACACACGGTGAAATACGATTGATCTTAACACTTAGAAGGAGAAAAAAAAAAAAAAAAAAAAGGCTTGGGTTAAAAAAAACCAAAAAACAACTTTAAAAAGTTGGAAGCTTTAAAAACAAACAAACAACAACAAAAAAACCGACGAAAACAGGCTAGACCCAGCGGTGTTTTATGTTACAGCCGCTTCCAGCACCACAGCAAACAGACCGGAGGGCACAGGCGGCGGAGCCCCTGGTGCTGAGGCGCCCTTCCCGGGGGCCGCCCCCGCCGGGGGCCGCGCCAGAGGCGGCCGCGCAACTGCCCCTTCCCCTGTTCGAGGCCCTTCTCCCAGCTCTTT